ATTTTAAAAACGTGACTGTCCTCCCTTAGTTTTAACTATCTGTTGTTATGCCAGTTGCTGTATTTCATCCTTTCTTCTTAAAAGGAGACAAATGGAGTTGAGGTTTACAGGTGGAAAAGCTGGTAATTGTCCAAGCGTTGGGATTTATACTTGATAATGTTCCAGTTTATTAAAAATAACCTAAGAGAATTTTGATTGGAGCTATAGTTCTCTTGAGTTTATGTACTGATGGTTACTCAGATTTTAGTGTTTTTGTTTTTCTTTCAAACCTTACTTTGTAGACTTGTGTATTTTGGGAGCTTCATTTGCGACAAATGTGTTACTTAGGTAGATCTATTTTATATTAGTGTGTTGTTAATGAATACTGATAATCAAAGATGAATTTCTAATTTTATTATGTTTATCAGTTATCTTTTAGTTTTTCCATTTGATGGCTCAGAACTTTGAAAGCCAATTTTGAAGCAATATCTTGAATCTTGGGTGCACCCTTTGAGTACAATCTGTCGTTCTTGAAAGCTGTCGTTGTTGCATTTGTTGTGTATTCACTAATCCCCACCCTAACAGTGACAGTGCTCTCTGAGCCTTGAGACTTCACCCTAGCTATCTGGAGATCACCTGTTCTCCGGCTAGGTTCTTTAGTTGATGCACCTAGAAATTGAAGCCCAGAGGATATTGTGCATGGGAGTGGTATTTTTCTCAAGTTTTCTGCTTTAGAGGGCCAGATTATTTATTTTGTGATATTATAAACTATATATATATATATATATATATATATGCAAAAATTTTTAATCATACTGTGCTAAATGCTTGCTGTCACTTTCTATGCTTGACTTAATGCAGATGGATTACAGTTTGGGGACCAGAACAGTCAACATACCACACTTGACATACACTGCCCAGGGCAGGGATTAGCACAGTCTAGCTCAGAACCAACTTTCTTCCTTTTTTTTTAATTTTTTTTTTTTTTTTTTTTTGTTAGTTGAGGGTTAACAGGGTCTACAGGGTCTCACTACACTTGTAGTGATCCACCTGTTTGCAGCTTCCCTGGTGCAGAGATTATAGGCACGTGTCACCACGCCCAGTCTCAATTACTGTCTCAGTGCTACCTCAGGAGGTGGGGCCGGCATGGCACACTGGGGATTGAACCTCCAACCCCTGTGTCTGCCTAAGCAGGTACTTTAGTCCACTGAGCTATTTGACCAGCCCACCAATTTTCTTTTTCTGTATGGCCTGCAGACCAAGGATAGTGTTTTAAAATGGTTTTTGAAACTCAGAAGTATATTTTTTGACACATGAAAATTATATAAAATTCATAGTTCAATCTCTTTAAGTTGCTTTTTTTTAAATTTAAAAAAAAATTTTTTTATTTATGTGTGTGTGTGTGTATGTGTGTGTGTGGCCAGCTCAGCCCACCAGGGGGCGGGGCTGGCTGGCATGTGGTGCTGGGGGATTGAACCGCGGTCCCTGTGCTTTGCTAAGCTTGTTCTAAGTAGGTGCTTTAGAACACTGAGCCATCTCACCAGCCCCTCTCCTTAAGTTTCAATGTAGAACAAAGCTTCATTAATTATTGTCTGTGGCAACTTTTGCACCATAATGGTAGTAGGCAGGGTCAAGGAAGGGGTGAGTAGTTCGAGACAGTCGAATCTGTGAGGATGGAACAGCCTCTGGTTGGCCCTTTACAGAGAAAAAAATTGCTTACTTTTGCCCTAATAGAAAGCATGTAATTAATAGTTATTTGTGCAGTTCAGAGACAAACAGGATCTGGGTCCTTAAAATAAGTTTTTGATATTTAAATATCAAAAGTAGCTAGTAGATTCTTTCAAAGTTAAAGTTCAGTCCACTTTACTTTCATTTTATTTTTTTCCAGCAATCTTGTAGATGTTTATGAAAATTAGATAAGTTTAGACTCCTGCTAGTCTAATTATCAGTACTTGTATGTCTCCTAAAACAAATCTATTAACTTTGGGTTTTAATTTACATTTTGTGAATTAAAAATGGTTAAGTATTTTTTGCCTGTGATTTTATTATAAAATTATAAGTATGCAACTCATATGCTTGTGTCTTGAGGTCCAATGAAAAAGATACGTGTGACCTCAGAATATTTAGGGATCATGTTTCAAAAAGATTACCCTTTTGTTTTGCTTTATTTTATTGGATACAGAGTTTCACTATATAGTTTAGGTTGCCCTTAAACTCACTGTATAGTCCAGGTTGGCCTCAAATTCACTCAATCCTCCTGCCTTAGCCTCTGGAATATTGGGATTATAGGGATTACACCATGCCCAGCTAGGATTACTCTTTTAAAAGTCACCTAAAACAAAGTAAAACTGCAACTAAACTAATGGTGGATTTCTATTGCAAAGTATGAAAGCTGTAGGAGGCAAAATACTGATCATAGCAAGAAGGATTGAGGTTCTAGGTGACTTTTAGAGGAGTTGGATTTTCAGTACTTTTCTTCTACTGTTTGTTAAAAGCTGCAGTATGAGCCGGGTGCAGTGGTATGTGTCTTGTAAATCCAGGACTTTGGGAGGCTGAAGCAGGACTGTAAGTTCAACCCCCGCCTGGACAATTTAGCAGTTCCCTGTCCCATAATAGAGAATTTTTAAAAGGCTGGGAGTGTAGCTTAGTGTGAAGACCCTAGCTTTAATCCCCAGTACTCCTAAGACAAATTAGCTGCAGTATGAAAGTTGCCATCTCCCCAACTCCCACATGCAACTACAAAAATACACTTTTTATGGTAACTCTTTCTTTCTTTCTTTCTTTCTTTCTTTCTTTCTTTCTTTCTTTCTACCATTTCCATGTGATTACTGTACAACTACAGAAAGTTATCAGCTTTCATTTGATTCTTGAGTCTGCTATCTTCACATCAGATTTCATCTTGACATAAAAAAATCAATGTTCTTGCAAAAGCCTGCTTATGATGAATGCGTGACAAGTTTGATATTCTGGCACTTGCTGTCTTAGTCTTCTTAACTCTTTTTTTTTTTTTTTTTTTTTTTGTGGAACCGGGGATTGAAATCAGGCCCTTGTGCTTGCCAGGGAAGCACTTATTCCACTGAGCCACCTCCCCCAGCCCTCTTCTTAACTCTTGAGTGCACAAACATTTGAGAAATAATTAATGTTCAAAAATAATTGTAGAGGCTGGGGATGTATGTAGCTCAGTAATAGTGTGTGCTTATCATGTACAAGGCCCTGGGTTTGACCCCCAGCACCCAGATAAAAGCCCTTAAATAATACATAGTGGTCTCCTTTTTCTGTGTGAGGTAAAGATCCATAGTATGTGTCTGACACCACAGATATTACTAAATCCTTTGTAGACTGTGTACTATTTCTCTGCACAAATCTATGATAGTTGATAAATTAGGTGCTGTCAGAGATGAACAGTTATGATAGGACAGTTATCACAGTTATAACAAAACTTATTTGTGGTGTGATCTCTTGTATCTTTTGTGCTTTAGAAGTGCCATACAAACCAGCATGGATTTTTTTTTCTCCTCTTCACAATATGGACAGAAGATTCCTTCTTAACATGAATCCTAGCAACCTCTGCATATGAGGTTTTTTTTTTTTTTTTTTTTTTAATTGAGATTGGGATCCAAGTCCAAAATGAAATTCATTTTTGTTTCACATAGATGCTATATACGTAGCCTGAAGTTGATCTTTTTTAAAGATTTATTTGCCTATTTGTTACAGGGTCTTGCTATACAGCTTGGACTCATAGTGATCCCTCTGTCTCTGCCTCCCCAGCACTGGGATTATAGGTGTGCACTACCACACCCAGCTTCAGTGCATGGCATGGCGCAGGGCTGGCATGGCATGCAGTACTGGGGATTGAACCCAGATCCTTATGCTTGCCAGGCAGGTGCATAGACAGCCAAGCTGTCTCCCTGGCCCTGCCTGAAGGTGATTTTATATAATATTCTTAGTGAGCCTGTGTTTTGATTGTGCTGTCACTTGAGTGCAGGTGTGGAGTTTTTTACTTGTGACATCATGTAGATAATTAAAGTTTCACATTTTGGACAATTTTAGGCTTAGGGGGCAAGGATAGTTAATCTGCTTTGTTTATTCTTTGGTTTTGTAGCCTTACAACAACACCCCCCCACATCATACACCATACACATATCCATAGTACACATACACCACAGATGGGACTGAGAAATATTGTGGATTAATGCTGTATTATGTCTAGATTTTACTTAATGACTTTCTCATTTGTAGGAATCTCCATAACTAAGAATTCTGTGTATATACTTTATCCAAGATAGTGTGTGTCATATACTTTCCTTAGTATCTATTTCTGTAATGGTAAACCTTTTAGAGCTTTCAGTAATAGAAGCAGCACACTGCTGCACATGCCATAGGTTCCCGACCACTGATCTATTTTCTTGTAGTGACTGAGTTTGTTTCTAAAAATTTTTGACAGAAAAGTTGCTATAAAAGAGAGTTCTTTTTTGGAGCCTAAATGCAGACGACCAGAGGTGCGTACATTTCTGTATCTGTTAAACTTCGTGAATTTCATGTGTAAGTGGAGACCCACTAAAAGACTTGCACAGGGCTACAACCATTCTGAGGGACCCAAAGCCTTTGGAAATTCAGCAGTAAAGTAGCAACAGCAACAAGCAGCCACAGTGGTAGTAGAGACAAGGCAGGCTCACAGTTAACATATTTCACAATGTGAGCCGTGAGCAGATAGCTTCCCCTACTGCTGCCTGAGGGAGACAAACCAAAACTGTATATTGCACGATTTTTCTACTTTCATGTTTATGATGTCAAGTCATGTGATAGTACTGTACCATAAGTTGCCAACTTCGCTTTACTCGGGAGTAAAGATCCGTCGCTGCAGTGCTTTCTCTCTTTCTCTCTCTCTCTCTGTCTTTTTTCTTGAAAGAGAAAAAATTGTGCAATGTATGTTTATGCCTACACCATGCCGAGGCGACACCTAGCAGTAAATAGTCTCTGTATCCCTGAGGTAAGATACTGTCTCTGCTTTCCCTGCACAGTGCTGCTGCAGCACGGAGCTGATCCAAATATTCGGAACACTGATGGGAAATCAGCACTGGACCTGGCAGATCCTTCAGCAAAAGCTGTGCTTACAGGTAAGAAAACAGCTACTCAGTGATTTTTATTTGTGGAACTAGGAGCCTGATTTTATAAAATCTTTATACACTGAGGTTTTTTTTTTTTTTTTTTTTTTTTTTTTTATTAAAGCTGATGAAGCTAAATAAATATATATGCCATTAACTACTACTTTATTCCTGGTTGGGTATCTGTCTTATTAACTGCTGTGCTGTAATAAGCAGTAGTGTTGCTTATTCTATGTAGAATATAGCTTAAATCATAGCATGTTATTTACTCATATTTTATTGTTTGCATCCTAATGTTCTTATACCTCATCTTTGCTATTTTTAAGACCTTCACTATTAAACAAGCAAGGGCATTTGTATTACTGTAAAAGTAGTTTTGATTGCAAAGGCAACCTGCTGCCTATTACTTGGATCGATAGTCAAATAAAATATGCTGCTGCTTCTCCCTTTTCAGCTGGTTATATCATCATCAGATGTCAGTTTTACCATGATAGACAAGTGATTTTTAACTCAGAGGGGTCATCTTTTTACTTCAGATAATGCAGATTCTGGTCTCAACTCTTAGTTTTAGTAAAGCAAATGCCAAGAACAGCAAAAAGAAAATGCTTGCCTAAAAAGACCTCTCATGACAATGTAGAAAATATTGTAACTGTTATGATCTTGAGCAACTGTTTTCATTGATCCTCATTCTCCAAATGCTGCATTGGCTCTACTTTTGTTTCTGTCTGAGCAGCTGAGTGCTGCTGCTTTTGCCCTCTCTTACTTAACCGACCTTTGTGATTTGGAGCCTCTGTCACTGCAGAGCCAACAGTGTTGTTTAACTACCTTTTAAATTTGCCCTGTATGAAGAAAATAAGTTTTTTGTTCTCATTTAAGTTTTAGAGTCCATAATGGGTATTTTAACCAAACATTTTGAAGTGAATGGAAAATGTTCACATACAGGAAGATTTGAAAATGTATAGAATTTTGCTTAATTCTGCATAGGCAGATAACTTCCCTTTGTACTTATGTTAATCACTGTTAAATTAAGTAATACCACTTTTTTCAATTAATAAAAGTTTAAATGATTTCAATTGCTGAATCAAGATAACATACAGAGACAACAATATGCAATGTATTAATTATTGAAAATGTACTAGTAATCGGTTGTGAAACTGTCTCATTGCTATTTGCTTCTCAATAAAAATATTTTTAAAAAATACAGATGAGAAATAAAGCCTTTAAATCAGTACAGGTAAGAAATTGAAATTTCAATAATAGTATTAGGGCTGGTTAGTTGCTTGCAGGCATTCAGTCTCTTAACAAACCCACCAGCAATGATAGCAGCTGATCTCTGACCACAGGAGGAAGATAGTTGATAGAAACGGAGGAACAGTATATTATAAATGCTGAGCAAGACTGTCTGTATTCTCAATGTCCTCCTCCTGACCTTACCTCCTCTTCCAATTGTCAGTGCATGCCTGTCCAGTTCTTAGATTCATTTAACGTGTTGATGCTTTTAGTCCCCCCCCCTTTTTTTAAATGCAAAATGTATAAGTTATTAACAAGGAGGACCTAATTCCTAATTTGTAATAAAGTTCAGGGAAGATTATGTTGGAAAAGAATTTTGGCATACTCACAGAGGCTGAAGGTTCCTGGAGGACAGATACTATGACTATTAAAATTGATTTGAAAACCATCTAGGATTGTACTTTGCTTAGATAGGAAGATATTAAACTCTTTGTGGTCATAATATTGATTTTACTAATTGTTCTTTTCTAGAATGTCTACTCTTTTTGAAATGATATGTGACTTCTTGGCTATGATTTAAAAGAAAAATAAAGTCTACTAATAGCAATTCTGTTGGAACTATAAATTGACTTTACTTATATATTCACTTTATATTGTATAATGAAATAACAGTTTGGTAAACTGTATTCCTCAGTGTTTTTCTGCCCATACAGGTTCTCTACTAACATTTCTTTCCAGTGGAATTATGGTGAAAGTATTATTTCCAAAGCAGAATTACAAAGATTAAGTATTAATTTAAAAGTAAGGAATGTGAATGGAGGGCGTAGCTCAGAAGTAGAATACTCACCTGGTATGTTTGAGGTCTTAGGCTTGTTCCTTGTGTCCATAAAAGCAAGTTTAGAAATGGTGTTACCTTTTAAAAGTAATGTCCAATTTCCGAATTATTAAATAGTATTTTGAGTGATGGGGTAGGGAGAAGCGTAATTGTAGTACCAGTACTTGAGAGTGACTTCTTTGTTTTTAAATATTTTTTCTTTAGAAATTTACTTGCTGAAAAATCTCTTTCTAACATCGTCTCTTTCATGGCACTGCTTTGGAACATTAGCTAGAACTAGTATAGGTATTCTCTATCTTCCTTAAGGGAAATTAGCAAAGTAAAAATCTCTTTATAGAATGTTATGCTTGATTCATGCTCTCTTACACATAAAGAATGCGTAGTTTTATAGCCTACACAAAGCAGCAGTATACTCTTTTACAGTTGAAGGATCCTATCATGCAGCCATTTGCTTTGGATCATACTTTGAGGCATTTAAAATTAATTCTTGGGGGCTGGTGAGATGGCTCAGTGGTCTAAAGTACCTACTTGGGCCAAGCTAAGCTAAGCAAAGCACAGGGACCGCGGTTCAATCCCCCAGCACCACATGCCAGCCAGCCCCGCCCCCTGGTGGGCTGAGCTGGCTACATACACACAAAATAAATAAATAAATATTAAAAAAAAGTAATTCTTAATTAGAGAGACTGATGAAACTCCTTTGAATCATTGTGTAAGTAGATGATATGTTCAGAAATCTTGAGGTTTTTGGGGGAAGGTTACTAATGACTTTGATATTCTAAGTTATCAACTAAAGAACTTGGAAATGTTTGGAATTTCACTTTTAAAAATTGAAAGTGTATCAGTTTTATAGAAGGTGCCCATGGTGTTATAGTCATTTGTTTTTAAACAGAATATTTTGGCCTCCTTCTCATTATGAACAATGCCTTCAGAAATTAAGGGAAATAGGAAAAATATATAAAAGAAAAAATGATTTGTAATTGACATTTCGATATGGTAGCCTTTTTTTCTGTGAGGACATATGCCCTCCATTTTTTGTTTTAATTGAATAAGCCTCTTATGTTACATACTTTCTGCTAAATTAAATATATGAACACCATGGACCTTCCCAGAGGGCATTAAATATTCTGTAATATCCGCTTATAATTATGTCATAGTATCATTCTCTGAATATATTGTTTTACAATGAATTGCCTAATGTTTTAACAGTTAGGTAGCTTGTTTGAGCTTTATTCTTCCTTGTGACTTGCCATTTTATCAATTTCACTTGATGCTTCATGATATTCAGGCTTTGCGCACACAACCATGGTAGATAGCTCTACCTATGAATTGAAAGTATAGTATGGGAAGGTTCAGAGAATGAGGAGTTTCCCTGTTAATGGGGTGCACTCCAGGTAGTATTGTTATGGGAGAGCTACACTTAAGCTGGAGGTAGTTGGCAAGAATGTTCATTGGTGGCCTAAGAGGGGTGATCGTTGACCATGTAAAGGGGACTCCGTAGGACAAACGCTGGAAAGAAGCAATGGGAAATTGAGTCAGGCAAGAAGGTAGGAGCAGATTGACACTGAGAGTGTAGGGAATCAGATGACTAAGATGTAGACTGAGTGAGTTTGGATGGTTACAAATTTGGCAGGATAATAGGTCCTAGTAGTTTTCTATATAAATTAGAAGAAAAGGAGTGGGGAAGAAAGATAAATTTGCACCAAGTTGTCTCAGGAATTTAATACTAGGGTTTAATTTGATACTAGGGTTTTACTCAATTCAAAATTTAGCTTTTCTTTTTTCACACTTTGCTTTTCTGTTTGCTTATTAGCCTGTTGATAATAAGGTTTGGTGTACTGTCTGATTAGCAGCCCAGCCATTTCTCACCACCATGACAGCTCTAACCTGGTCCAAACCTTCATCTTCTTTCTTCCATGATTGATACTTGTGCACTTCATTCAGTTCTCTTCATTATAATGGGAGTAGTCCAATGTACAGATGAACTCTATGTCCAGAACATTCCTTAGGAGTGTTCCTAATGGAACATTAGGAAATGTTCTTAATGGAAAAGATGCATTTTCCCTAAGTTAAACTCAAATTCTTCACCAGGTTTATCATGATCTAGCTGCTGCCTTGCATATCTCTGATATTACAGTCTCCTTTGGTCTCTGTTTTAGCTACAGCTAGATGCTTTTTTCTGTCCAAAAAGATGAAGCCCCATTTCTGTTGTCTGGGGTAGTACGTGCTGTTTACTAAAGAGAACACTTTCTTGAGTGTCTCCACTTTGGAGGAGACGTGTACCCTCATTCATGTTTGGTTATTTTTTTTTTCCTTGATGAATTTTTCTGTATCTGAAATTGCTTTTTTGTGGTTGTTTGTCCCAGTAGATCAAAAGATTTCTAAGAGTTTAGTCTTGCATTTGTCTTGTTCACTTCTTTGCCCCAGGACTTAGAAGAATACATATAATGATTAAATAAAGAAATATATTCAAGGTTTGTTTACTGATAATTGAGTGCAATGTATTTTCCAAACACTAATTAACCACTAATTATTTGATACCTTATGCCATACTATAATATAATAGCTTTAATAAATCACTTTCTAAAACTAGTTTTTGATTGCTCATAGTCATGCATCACCTCTTAAGCTGTATTTTTAAATGTTTTAATTGGTATGGTGGGTGAAATATGTATTTAGTTTTAGCGACAGATTTCTTGAATGGCTCCTGTGATAGGCCGCATACCAACTGTGAAAGGAGCACACTGCCTGGTGCTGCCATGTTAGACTGCCAGATGGCTAACCAGCCCTAATGTTTACTCCTGTGGTCGCTGTTAATGTCTTTTTTTTGCTCATTAGCTGTGTTACAGTGTGGCATATTACATACCATGTGCTGGATATTTTTACTTTACGTAAGGCTACTAGGATTGAAGACAAAATTCTTCATGCTGTTATTCTGAAATTTAGGAAT